CCAAATATATGTCCCAGAATGCAACACTGTGAGTCAGGCAGGGTTGAGGGCTGTTTCCTCACAGGTGCCCCTGATAAGACAAAACATGGCTCAGCCCAGTGCACTGCCGTGTCTGGGCACACAAATGAACAGGCATTCCCAGGCCCCAGTGTTGTCTTAGAGTAAATTATTGACATTCTGAATGGCTGAAACATTGGAAAAGAGGTGAGAGCCAGCTCCCTCTGCTGAGGGACAGCACCAAATTCAGAGGCCAAGAGAAGTGAAAGGTGGTTTTGGAGACATCTTTTGAATCTACCTTGTTCAAGGCGAGTTCAGGAGTCCTCTGAAGCTCTGGAAATCAGAGGGGAGAGTTAGGATGGGTGAAGGATACAGAGTTGGGGAGACAGGAAGGTAGATTTATGAAGAAATAAAAGGCAAAACACCCAGAGGGAAAAAGTGAATACACTTTCGTCACAAAGAGGGAATTGATGCTCTGACATCTGTAAAAAAAAAAAAAAAAAAGTGCTTTTCTCCTAAATGATACACAATGCATAAGGAGTAAATGGGACATTGATATTAATTATATGAGAATAGCATCACTAATACCACTGTAAGAAACCCTGGTGATGCCAACGGTTAAGTCCTTGGCTGTTAACCTGAATGATGGCGGCTCAGCGGGGCCTCACAAAAAGCCTGGCGCTTCTTGAAAGTTACCGCTATGGAAACCCCTGTGGAGCACTGTTGTGCTCTGAAACACACGGGTCGTCAGGAATCAGCGTGGAGTCAATGGCGACCTGCTTAATACTTATACACCCAGCAATCAGTACCTTATGGTACCTTTATCAAAAGCAATTTATAGTTTACCAAGGACTTTCACACCTATTGTTTTCACTTACTACTTCAACCCACTGCAGTGGGCTAGACATTATGTGCAGTTTACAGAAAAGAAAACAAAAACAAACTCACTGCCATCCAGTCAGATCCAACTCATAGAGACCCCTCACTACAGAAGTAGATTGCCCAACCTTCTTTCTGTGGAGTGGCTAGTGGGTTTGAACCCCCAGCCTTCTGGTTAGCAGTCAAATGCCTTAGGCACTATGCCACTGGGCTTCCCTACAGAAGGGAAAACTGAGGCATAATTAAGAGGTAGGGCAGAGTAGGGAGCGCTGGTAGCATAGCACCTAAGGCACTTGACTGCTAACCAGAAGGCTGACGGTTCAAACCCACCAGCCACTCCTCAGAAGGCAGATGGGGCAATCTACTTCCATAGTGATACTGCCTCGGAAACCCAAGGAGGGCTCGCTGTGAGTCAGTCCGACTAGACGGCACATAACAACAATAACAACATATGTGCTTTCAGCGATAAGCCTCTTACTCTTCCTTGCGAAGCATGGCTCCTCTTCCATGACTGCCTCTCATTTCTAGGTGGAGTAGCCCACCTTCTCCTGTGCTTCTGGAAACAAGTTTTTCTTTTTTTTCTTAGTTCGTGGGTGGACCCCCGCAGTTGAACCCTGCCTGAAGAGCAAAGCCCCAGGGGAAATTCCCCCTTCTCAAGTGTCCCTTGACCAGTTCTTTCTGTTCCAGACTCCACACTTTGTGGTTCTGGAAACAGCACCTTGGGGTCCTCTGAGCTTGCCCCCGTTGCTCTCAGGTTAGGATGAAACAGAGGGCAGACAGGTGCTCCCCTTACTTGCATAGGATGTTATAGAAGCACTTGGCCTTGGGGGCTGGTCAGCAGGTGTTTTGAAAGCGGTTCTGTTTATTGGAACCTCAAAGCATCAGGATCATCAGGGAACTTGTTAGGGATGTGGATGTCCAAGCCCCGCACAAGACCGTCTGAATCAGAGTCTCTAGGGGTGGGGCCTGGACACTTGTGAGCACAGCAGGCTCCCAGGAGATTCTGAAGAGTTGCCAAACTTGGGAACCACTGTCTCAGTGCAGGAGGAGGAGTTAAACAGGTGAAAGAGAGTGGGGAGCCATGCTGGAAGGAAAGTACCTGGAGAAGCCCTGAGAGCTGAGAAGACAATCCTTAGCTCCGTTCTTATCTCCCTTCCACAAAGTGGCCCGGTGCAGCGGGTTAGAAATCTCTTCCTTCAGACATGTCTCCTTGTGACAGATTTGCTATGTGTGCTAAGGAATAGCCACACACTTCTTCCACAAACAGTTAAAGGAACTGGACTATTTGAAGGATGGAAAGATAGGAGCAACCAAGCAATGTTCAACTTTAGCTGAGAGCTGCTGCCCCAAGGTGCTATGTGTATGTGGTTATGCAATGGACTCAACTCACAATACATGAATTTACAAGAACAAGTGTATTAGTGGGAAAAAGGCGAAGGGACAGTTTTTAAAAAGAAATGGCACCTAAAATTGGATAAATATAGGAGATGCCTGGAACACTTTTGCCTGTGCCTTTTTGCCTGGATGATGCTGGTTGATATCACTTCCTGGAGTGCTTTATAAGGCAGTATCACGCAAAAACTTCAGGAGTCTGATGGTGCAGTGGTTAAAGTATTTGGCTGTTATCCAAAACGTTGGTGGCAGGAACCTACAAGCCAGCCACTCCGTGGGAGAAAGATGTGGCAGTCTGCTTTTGTAGAGATTTGCTGTTGTTAGGTGCTACCAAGTCGGTTCTGACTCATCGTGACCCTATGTGTGACGTGACGAAACATTGCCGGGTTCTGCACCGTCCTCACAACTGTTGGCATGTTGGAACCCAGTTTCGCAGTCACTGTGTCAACGCATCTCCTTGAGGGTCTTCCTCTTTGTCACTGAAAAAAAAAAAAGGAAGACCCTCAACGAGATGGGTCGACACAGTGGCTGCAACAATGGACTCAAACATGACAACGATTATGATCTGTTAAGATTTACAGCCATGGAGACCCTGTGGGGCAGTTCCAATCTCTCCTGTACTGTCACTGAGTCAGAATCAATTCAATAACCAAACCAAACCCACTGCCATCAAGTGGGTTCCCAAGGCAGTATCACTACGGAAGTAGACTGCCAAACTGTCCTTCTGAGGAGTACCTGGTGGGTTTGAACCACCAGCCTTCTGGTTAGCAGTCAGGTACCTTAGGCACTACGCCACCAGAGCTCCCAATCGAGTCAATAGCAATAGGGTTTTTAGTTTTCTCAACTGTCAAGGTGAATTGGAATCACCTGGGGACCTTGTTAAATGATGATTCTAATTCAATAGGTCTGAGGGGTAGCTCTAGCCTCATTTGTAACACTTCCCAGGTGATGCTTACACAATGGCACTACAGGCCACACTGGGGAGGCAGGGTAAATTGACAGCCTTTCTTGGCTCACCATTGCCTCAAGCCCAGCAGAGTGATCAGCATCCAGTAGGTCTTCAGCGAACATCTGTTGAATGAGTGAACAAGCAAATGATGTGGGAGTAGGTGTCTGGAGGGCAGAACATCTTTGTCCTGAACTGCAGCATGTTTGGGGGAGGGGTGTGTTTCTGCTTCTATCAGTCCTTTACTTTGTGAAATTATTTCATACTCTTTAGACAAAAGATGTCAATACTAATTTATTCCTGACTTTGACACCTTGCTGCTTCAACTCTTCCACTTCACTTTACTGTGTGTTGCAGATACCATGTTTTTTGCATATTGAAGGTTTGTGGCAAGCAACCCTATGTGGAGCAAGTCTAGTCTATTGGAGCCATTTTTCCAACAACATGTGCTCACTTGGTGTCTCTGTGTTACGTTTTGGTAATTATCATAATAGTTCAAGCTTTTTCATAATGCTGTTGCACACTTGATCAGCTACATACAGTACAATGTTAGGGGAACTCTTATATGCACTGCGAAACCAAAATTCAGGGCTTGCATTATTGCGATAATAGCTTTATTGCAGTGGTCTGTAAAGGAACCCGCAGTATCTCCAACTATGCCTGTAGTGGTGTTACATGTGGAGGGAAGGAGCTCTGGTGGCCCAGTCATGAAGCCCTCAGCTGCTAAGCAGAAAAAAGCCGATTTTAACCTACCAGTTAAAAAAAAAGCCTACCTTTAGGCAGTTCTACTGTCCTAAAGGGTCACATATCAACCAACCAACCAAAGGGTCGCTATGACTCAGAATTGACTTTATGACAATAATTTGGGTTTTTTTTTTGTTTGTTTGTTTATATGCGGAAGGTAATGAGCCTTGGCTTGCAGACTCCGAGGAAGGCTCACTAAAGTGGACAATTGTATAAGTGTATTTCTTCCACTCAAGGAGGGAGCAGAGTACATGGGACCACACATTTTGGTGTATAATTGTCACTTGGCTTCCTCCAAATTAAAAAAAAGCCTTGTTAACAAAGTATGTGCAAAGGGTGCTCATTATCCTAAAACACATAAGTGTAATAATATTTCCATTGTTTACTATTATTGTTTATGATAAAGATAATTACAGTGACACTTGAGCAACTAGGTGTGTGGGAGTTTGGGGAGGGGGCAGACAGCTTGAGACGCAGCAGAAAGAGGAACTACATCTCCCAGAATCCTCCGGAAGAGTTCACGCCACTGCGCCGCCACCTCGCCCCTTTCGCCGACGGGCCCGCCCCGCTGATGACGTCACAGAGGTGACGTCACGGCGCCCAGAGCGAGGCTGGGGTAGAGAGGCCGACCGAGCGGGAGTCGTCCGCTTGTCGTGGAGGCGACTAGGGAACCGGGAGAGGCTGATCAGCTAGCAGGCGAGAGAGCCGGAGCAGTCTGGAGGGAGCGTCAGGCGGCGCAGCGCAGCGCCGGGGCCGGGCCGCGGCGGACTCGTCGCCGGAGAGGGGCAGTCCAAGCCGGGCGCCGCGGGTCCCCACCCCCACCCGGCCGGACAGTGCCCGGTGTTCCCTGTGCGAGGGGCGGCGGCAGCGGCGGCGGCGACGGACGGGACCCGACTGGACCGCGGGGTGTTGCCATCTCCACCAAGGCGCCGGCGCGGCCGCGGGCTCCTCAGAGGCGGGCCCGGGGCCCGTGACACACGGGCCGAGCAGGGGAGAGAGGCGGCGGCGCAGGCGACGGGGAGGCAGCGGCGGCGGCGACACCATGTCATCCCCTAGTCCGGGCAAGAGGCGGATGGACACGGACGTGGTCAAGCTGTATCCTTCGTGGAGGGGGATTCGGTCAGTGGGTGTGGGGCGGTGTAGGGGTGACCAAGACACTCCTGGAACCAAGCAGGGGCCCTGGGGCACTCCAGGCCACTGTCCCAGACTCTCCCCCTCCCCCAGTGCCTACGGCGGCTCCTTGGCACCTCCCAGGAGCCAGAGCCCTTTCAGCTCCCCGTTTATCTGCAGCACCCCGAAATTTGCGTCGTTCCTCGCTGTTCCTGCACCCCCACTGCCCGTGACTTCCCTCTGCGACGTTTAGACTTCTAAGATGGCCTTTTTTTTTTTTTTGCAAGACTGGCCATCGAGCCCTCTTCCCCACCACCGAGCCCACCCTTCAGGGTTTCTCTTTCCTGTTGTCTCAGGATGTAGGGGCCCAAGGTCGAAATTCCCGAGAGTGAAGCTTCTTTCTGGAGACGCCCCTCCACTCACAATGCTTCTTGACCTAGAGTAACTCAGGTGACCTCCTTTATCCCTAATTCTTTTCTATATTAGGAAGGAGGCTAGTCTGCCCAGTGCCCCCTCTCTAGTAAACGCTCTTAGACCCTTCTGAAGCGTTGGGGTCCCCAGTAGAAACCTACTGTTTTTCTTTCCACTGACAAAGCCTATCCCATCCACGGTTGTATGTGGTGAGGACCCCCCCCCCCAGCAAACCACCTTCCATATTGTGACTATGACAGCTGTGGGCAGGAGGGCATAGAAAGAGGACTCCTGGCCAAAACAGCCCTGGACTAGCCTCTCCGAGGGTACGGTTCTTGGGGAGTAATTGATCTTGCCAAGTGACATGCTTTATGTTTTGTTCCTTCGCCCAACTTTTTACAATCTGGAGATAGCACTATACCTGATGTGCCTTCAGACAGTGGTTTTGGTTGGATCTAAGATTGCTAGTTATTTGGCGACTGGAGAAATTTGGGAAGGTTCCTATGATACATAGAGAAATTTTTAAAGGAGTAATTTCGAGGGTGAGAGAGCAGAAATGAGCCCAGTACCCTGAACGATTTATCCTTGGGTGGGGGACGGGTGGTGGTGGTGGTGGTGTGAAACGAAGTTAAAAACTGTCTGTCCCCTGCTTCTCTTTCTCTTCCATCCCCATCCCCCCCCCCCTTTCCCCCTGTTGCAGGGTTTTGTTTATGTAACTCTGAAGTTGTTTGGCTAGATTCTTCAGGTGAATTCCTTCTTCCTTCCTTTGATTAGTTACTGTTATTGATTGAATGTTTTACCCCTTTGGAGAAATCAATGGTCATTGTCAAATATTGCAGCTATTGAATTTGCTAAAGTTTTCAAAAAGTAGTTTTTCGGTTTGGTTTGGAAGTGGGGGATGGGAGGGAAGTTGTCTGGGCAAGAGAATTTTTTTTTCTCATAATCTTTCGGGGCACAAGAAAGCTTGATTAGAAATCAGGAGCAGCAGATGAACTTTTAAGTTTAGGGTTTGGAGTTTAGAATTTTGGGGAGATGAGAGTAGGAATTAGAGAGGGGCAAGTAATAAAGTGCCTACCCTCAGTATCACACATACCTCTAGGCACAAGTTAAATCAAGTTTTCATGAGCTGTGTGGGGTCGTGATTGAGTTTTGTAAATGTGTGAATGGTATCAGCGTTGGCTTTTTGTAAGGTTGAAGGAAAACTTGCAACTACCGTTGTGTGTTTGTACATTTACATAAAGCCCTCTTGGTTTTATTTTTGTATAGAAACGAGGAAATGGCATGGTGGCAGGATCAAGAGTTATTTTTGTCTTGAGTTGAGACTTACTGTCAAACCTGATGCAAATTTCAACCTAGTGTTGAATTGGCCGGTGGGGGAGAGAATTCCAGCTGTTTTTGATCAATGTCAGATTCTCCAATTAAGTACATAGATATTTCTAAGAGATTGAGGCAAACGGGTGAGGCCTAACTTGACCTGATGCCTTTTCAATATAGTGCCTTTTGTTCATTTAGTAGTTGTGGTATCTAGAGTGATGACCGCATTTAGGAGTCAGGGGGTAGGGGGTGGAGAGGAGAGAAAACAGACAAAGAACAGCAGGGGGTCTCTCTCTCTTTCTCTTTTTTCCTGCTCTTTTCCCTGAGTGGCTTATTTCATAGCTTATTTTTAGTAGAAGATGAAGAAAAGCAAAGATGCCTGGGCCTTCTTTTCTCTCCCCACCTCCCTCCTTCTGACAAAAGAAAGCAGAGGCTTTAAACCGTAGATCTCTGAGGTAGGGGGACAGCAGTCTCACCATTGACAAGCCAGAGGGGATCTTCCTTTTTTGTGTTTGCTATTTTCTGGACTCAGGTAGTTCGGAAGTTCACATTTTCAGATTTCCTTTTGTGTGTGTGTTGAGGGGGTGAGGAGAGTCTGTGGCCTCCTTTCTCGGTGAATCCCCATCAGTAGGCCCAAACGGAGCCATCACTTTCTGAGTAAGGTACAGTAAGCAAAAAAAAAAAAAAAAAAAACTAAAAAAAACTAAGGGATAACCTGTCCAACCTACTGCTGAAATGAGTAATACTGTGTGCAGGGGCCTGGGGCTGAAAATGAAAGATGGTGGAGAGGAAGTGCAGGTCTGAAGGAGTGTATGCTTCTTGCCCCCCAGTGCCCCTTGCCGATTTCTTTGGGGGTGGAGGCTGGGAGCTGGTTTCAAGGCAGTCTCCTACCTCAGCCCGTTTTGGGATGTCTTCTGTAATTATGCCACCGCGATTTACAGCCTGGCAGGGAACCCGTCTAGTACTGAAGTAGCCCTGTGGGGGTAGGGAGACGAGAAGGAGGGTCACTAACTGGCCGCTGCCTTCCACCACCTCGGTAGACTCTTCCGGCGCCACGGGCTCTGGTCGTTGTTTGGAGTCAGTGATATTTCTTTTGTGACGGGTTGGGAGGAGGAAAGCTGACTCCCAAGTTATGCAGGGAGTGAGTGTTTTGCACTGATGCACTTAATAGTCCGCTGGGCGATTATGCGCTGAAACTCTGACTCATTCACTGTTTCTCTTCTGATCCTTTGCTGAGGGTTGTGCAAACCTCCCCAGGAGCCTAGAAACCGATTTACATGACTGTGGGGCCCCCTCCCGAAATCCGGTAGCCTGGCCATTGCAAGTGTTTGCCGAGTCAGGTAGCTGGGTGAGACTGCTGTTCCCAGGCTGGTCACCTTCGAGGTTGGCATCTCAAGCCCCACTGATTTTCAGATTGTCTGAGAACTGGGACCTTCAGTCGTGATTTGCCCTAAAGGAATACGGGCTTAAGTTCTCCCGGTGGAGGAGCGAACAGCTCAGATTACACAGCTCTCCTTGTTGGTGGGGGCAGCTGTCTCGCCCTGTTGCACAGCCCTGGTGAGCCTTTTATCGTGAACGAGCGGCCCCTGCTAAAGGCTGGAGCTGCTTGTTTTGGAAAAGCCTTTGCAGGCGAAAGGCCGCAGGCACGGCTCCTCGCAGCTCATTGGCTGCTCTGTTACTACCCGGAAACGGAGGAGGGGTGGAGCCACGAAACAGCTGATGGAGTGTGTGACAAGACAGCGTGTTTATACACAAAAGATGTGGGGGCTGGGGAGGCCTGTGAGCCGAGGGCCAGGATCAAGTGTATTTTCAAGGGACAGAAAGAGGAAAGCCTGACCTGTTAGTGTACAAGAATCGTAAGAGCAAATCAGAAACGTGGCTTGGGTGATAACGGGGACTTGCCGTAGACTTACTGGTGGGAGATTTTGCAACTTAGTAATAACAAGAGTTTGAAAAGCTGTTTCCAGAGGGAGTGCAGTGACTTAAAATAGAACACATCACTTTAGACGTAGTTAACTGATTCGTAGCAGGGTTTCCAGGGTTTCCAAGAGCGTGGTTAGATAGTTAAGCTTCCCTTAGGGGCAGTGTCTTATACTAAATTCATCAACAGCGTGTGGAACTTTATAGGATCTTTGGTGTGCGCCTTAGGGTTTCAGAAGCCATCTGTAACAAGTTCATCTCCTCAAACGTTTTCAGCACCCTCTTTGGGCCAGGCATGGTGCTGGGAGTTCAGTAGTAAAACAGCAGGTAGGAATGGACCTGGTGCTTATGTAGTTAGTTTTTTTTTAAAAAAGTAACCCCACCAGAGAGGACACACTGTGCTTACAGTTCTGGTCAGCACTGCATATGTATCACTTTGCATTGAGTAATTTGTATTTATTTTCAGAATTGACTTTTTCTGGAGTGGATTTTTTTTTGTTGTTTAAAGCAAATTTTGAGTGATGAAATGGATGGGGATCTGTACTATTGCTAGATATTAAAAAAGGTAAATAAAATACTAAGACATACAGCCATTGTACTAGTCTTTATTTCTGTGTGAAATGTTTTATAATAAAAAAGAGAAAGAACCATAGGTTCTTTCAAGCACAGACCATTAAAAAAAAAAAAGTGTAGCCATTTGTCTTGGTATTTTGCTATTAATCACTCACTCTCTCCCCAGGTTAATGAGTTTGTTACTTTCATGTGTCTCCATGTGGACAATTCTGTAATCTTTCACCAGCTTTTACCTTTTATTTCCTGAGACCTCTTATTTCAATGAGATGGCTTAGAAGGTTGGAACCTTTTCATGGTCTTAAGTCTTCAAACTAAAAAGTTAAAGATTTGGCAACTCCCAGTGTTCCGAATTTGTCTTCTCAGCCTAGATTTTGGTGACAAATATAACATGCTAGTACTTATCTTGGTGAAGCAGGAACCTGCATGAGTAAGCAGTCACAGCTTTGGAACCTCTGATGCCTACAGTACAGTTCTAGTAAATAACATGCGGAAAGTGAAGCTTTTTTGGGGGGGAAAAAAGTCTTTTGCAGATGTGACCCATAAAAATGCTTAGCTGTTTGTATGCCTGTGTTAGAACAACCTAGATGCGTAGGTTTTCGAGGGATTGCAGTTTTCCCAGAACCCTGATCTCTCTCTATTTTAAATTTAGAGTCTTGTTCACTCAACAGCTCTGTTGGTTCCAAGAATCACTGAATTTTTAGGCCAGCAATTCAGACCTGCAGAAGTGCTTGTAGGGTAGTAGCTTTATACCGGTAGACCTATATAGT